TTGATAAATAAATGCAATCTGTTATTATATTTCTTCATTATTCCAGTTTCAAGAAGGACAGTTTAATCTTTAAATCATTAATTGCCATTTGTGGGAAATCCTAAAGTTTAATCTCTGAGAGTCATAACCATATTTCAGTCGGTTAATTTCTGATGTTTTGGTACTTTACACAGTGGATGATACGTAATAGACACTTATCAAACAGCTTAACATCAATGCAGTCCAATTGTTGCATTAAGAAACTTATGACTTATTTTTCAAGGAATACTTAATATGTACATTTTATAATTTAAAATATACATTAAATTATCAATGTCATATAGTAATTATTTCACATCTCAATTCATTTATAAAAACAATAAATTTGTAAAACAAAAATGTATTTTTTATTTTAGTATGAGAATATAATGCATTTGTAATCTCAGTCTTCCTCTTCTATCTCATCAACAAGGTGTGATGGGGACCGTGTGGGGAGGGCATAACTAGCTAAGGATAGTAAATGTGGGCTCTGGAGCAGGAGAGTGTAACTGGTCACTGTACTAGGGAATCAAACCTTAGTGGGTGTGATCTGACATAGCACGGTAGCCTGGAGATCTCAGGTCAGATGAGCAAGAGGGGGCTGAGGCCCAATGACTAAATAGTGACAGTATCAAGAAGGTCTACTAGCAAAGCAGAGTAGGTGAGGACCCTGGTGCCGGAGAGTGTTGCTGGTCAGGTTTCAGGGGAGTCAAGCCACATTGAGAAAGCTCTGACTCACATGATTAGTAAGGAGATCTCAAGTGGAAGAAGCAGGAGGGGGCCTAAGAGCAGGACAGGCTTATAAAGGGGAGGAACTAACTAGGTAGCCACAGTAAGTATGAACCCTGCAGCAGGTGAATGTAGCTGTTGTGAGTGCATGGGTATCAATCAGATGCAGTGGGCAGGGTCTGGCTTAGGAGGCTCCTGGGAGGTCTCAGGCAGGAGGAGCAGAGAAAGCCAGGCAAAAGGCCAGAATTGGGGCTGAATGGGAGGGTCTAACTAGCTAAGCAACAGAAAAGTTTTTCCTTCTCCTTCAAATACAGTTGATATCTTTATCTGGTACAGTGATATGGGCTTGAATATGTTCTTTCATGATTTGTATGACTTCCATAATCTCCATTGAAAAGTCAGCTCTCATTCTGATGGTCCTTCCTTTATATGTGACTCCATCTTTCTTTCTCATAGATTTTCTTGGTTCTGCACATTTAGTATTTTAACTATTATAGGACATGGGGAGTTTCTTTTCTATTCCAATCTACTTGGTGTTCTATATGGTTCTGGTACCTTGATAGGTATATCTTTCCCTAGGTTTGGGAAATTTTCTTCTATGACTTTATTAAAAATATTTTCTGCATGTTTAGCCTGGTTTTCTCTTACCTCCTCTGTCTATGATCAGTAAGTTGGTCTCTTTACAGTTTTCCAGATGTGTTGTATTTTCCATTTCAGGGTTATTTTGTATTTGACACTTTCTTTGACTGAGAAATCCATTTCACCAAGCTTCCTTCAAGATTTGATATTCTCTGTTGCATTTCCCCCACTTCCTTTTTGCTTCTTTTTTCTAAGATTTTAGTTTGAGTTCCTGAGCATTTTATTTCAAGCTTTATTTCAGATTGGCTTTTCTTCAGAGATTCTATGTCTTTATTGAATTCTAATTCCATATTTTGAATTGTTGAATTTAGTTATTTCATTCAACTTTTTACATATTCAGGGTCATCATTCAGTTTTTTATTCTTATGCTTTTAGAATTCCTTGAACATATTTATAATTGCTATTGTGAAATCATTGTTTTGTGCATCCACATTGCTGTCATTCTCAGGAAACATTATGATGGGGTTCTTAATTTCTGTGTTAGCCACATTATCCTAGTTATTCATCTTTGGGTTTTCCATTGAGCTCTGGGTATTTGGATTTGTGTGGTGGTGTCTCTTGGTAAAGGTAAGTCCTTCTTGAATGTTTGGTTGTATCTTATTTATTGTTTCCCTAAGTCATTGGGTTATGGCCCAGATTAGTAGTGCTAGATGTTCAGTTTTGGGACCATCTTATGTGGAGGTACAACTGGGGTGAATAAAGTGGTCTCAGCTCGACTAAAGATAGGTTTATTTTTTAAGTTGTGATTTCAGGGTTGACTGCAAAGGGTCCTGGATCATCAGGATGGGGTGGAGTGCTACAAGAGTAAACTGGCAGGAAAGTTAGAGTAGGAGTTCGTAAGTTTGAGGCGAACAAAACTCAGAAAGGCAGGATACAGGGAGGTCTCAGGGATCAGGCTCCAAACTGCAAGTTTGAGGCAGAAAATGATCTTGGGGACCCAGGCTGGACTGAGAGCTGAGAGGGCGTGGATTGACCCACTCTGCCAAGTAGAGGTGTTTGCCCTCCTGGATGGCTTAGAATTCTTCTGTCTCAGAAAGTCTGAGAGTTAAGATGTCAAGGTGCAATGGCATCTCCAGAAAGGTGCTCCAAGTCACAAGTTTGGGACGGGTGAGGATTAAGGAGTCCTAGGCTGGGATCATTTGTAACTATTTTTGTGTGAATTGGGTGCTCTTTAAGTCTACTCTGTAGGAAATAGCTCATATGCCTAATATTATAGTTATAGTTATGTCATTGTTCTTTAGATCCCTACATTTGTTTATTCTGCATAATTTAACCTTTTATACATTTTACCTACATCTCTGATTGCTCTAAACTCTGGCAACCACTGACACATGCTGTATCTTCTCCAGTTTTTCTTTCCATAGGTGCATTGTTGCATGTAACATATGTCTTCTTGTTCATCCATATTTGCAAATGGTAGAATTTTCTTTACTTTTGTTATGCCATACATGCCCTTTGTTAGATTGATGACTCTCCACCCTATTTCTGATGTGTTAAAAATATCTAAACTAGAGGTTTTTGGAATCTTGTTAGAAGATTCTTTTGTATCAATATAATCTTCTGTAGAAAACCAGGATGCCAGGCCCTAGGGTGAGATGAGCCTAAAACTTTTAAGTCTAGGCTGCATTCTCTGATAAAGTGAGGGGCACTGAAAACAGTAGCTCTGATAATCCCTGTCTTGCAGAACACTGCCAGAATGGCAAGAGAAAGCAGCCTGGTCATAAGTGCAGGCTCTCTGCTCTGTGGGAAAGCATCTTAGTCAACAACCCTTAGCTCATCTCCTTGTCCTGAAAAAATAACTCAGCTATCCTTAGCTAAGAGATTATGCTGGGTTAAAGGTTTACTCCTGAGCTAAAAGCTAAAAGTTTGCCATGCTTTTCACTCTAAGAGAGAAAACATTGTGGCCAATAAATTACTGGATGGGCATTGATAACCTTGAGTAAAAGTTTAAGAATCCTTCTTACACCAACTAACAGACTAAATGTCTGGTTTCTTTGTACCCTAAATCTTTGTATGTGACTGGCATATCTGATGTAACTGCTAGTTCCTTGGGGTGTATAAAAAACATCTGAATTTTAAAATAAATTGGCTTGTTGAAAAGACACAGGTCCCAGGGTCCAAGACTCTGTCACTGATCAAGTCTCTCTGCCCTAAAGCCAGTAGGTCCCCTCTAAGCAAAGCAAACCTGAGTCCTGACAATCTTCTTTTGGTATTTTAGCTTCTATTTTTATTAGCATGTTCAATGTATATTTAAATCACACATGCTCTCATCTCTCATATCTGAGATTGTTATACCTCAACATGGTATTTAATATTTTAATGTATAGGAATATCACAATGCTAGTATTTTGTTGAGCTATGCTACATTTATATCCATAAAGCTTATTGATCTTTATTTTCCTGTGGTAACTTTAATCTTAGTGTGCTGGATAGCTTTAGTGTCAACTTGACTTACCTGGATTGAAGGAGCCTCAATTGGGGAATTTCCTTCATTGGACTGGCCTGTGGCCATGTCCATGGGGCATCTTCTTGATTGTTGAGTAATGTGGGAGGGCCCAGCCCTCTGTGGGTGGTGCCACCCCTGGGCAGGTGGGCCTATGGTGCATAAGAAAGCAGGCTGAGCATGGGCCAGGGGAGCAAGTCAGTAAGCAGCATTCCTCCATGGCCTGTGCTCCAGCTCCTGCTTCCAGGTTCCTACCCTGAGTTCCTACTTTGGGCTCCCTGATGAACTGTGACCTGGGAGATGTAAGATAAATAATCCCTTTCCTTCCCAAGTTGGTATTGGTCAGAGTACGTTATCACAGCAATGAAGAAACAAATTAGGACGCTTAGTGTCATGATTTCCTATTTATCATGTATAACTTTGGAGATTTTGTTTGGGAGTATGTCAAAAATTATATAAATTTTTGTTATAACATAAAAATAAATCTATGACCTTCTGAGATCAGGAGTCTGATCATTACCCATGAACCTGATCAGGAGCAATTTCTATTGACTATTACTCGTATTATCCATTATTCCTCTCCAATTTATATCATTGCATTCTATTTCCCCTCCCATGAACCACACTGAAGGCCTCTCTCTTTCCTACTCTCTAAGGATTTTCCATTTGATACACACTTAAAATACAAAACTAGTATCCACTCATGAAAGAAAACATTGGACATTTGTCTTCCGGGTCTCAGTTAACAGATGCATCTACTTCCATGTGAATTTCATAATTATATTTTTCTTAATGGTGAATTTCACTGTGAAAATGTACCATAGTTTCTCTAGCCATTCATCAGTAGATGGACATCTAGGTTGTTTCCATTTCCTTGCTGTTGGGAATAAGGCAGTGAAGAACGTGTGTGTGTTGGTATCTCTGTGGTATACAGAGTTCATGGGGTACATGCCCAAGACCAGTATGAAAGGATCATGTCAGGGATCTACTTTTAGCATTTGAGAGACCTCTACACTGTGTTCCAAAATGGTTGTACTGATTTAGCCCTTCTACCACAAGTGAATAAGTGTATGCTTCCCCACATTCTCACCAGTATTTGTCATTCTTTGGGTCCTAGCCCAGCGTGCCCCACCCCCCTGTGGAGGAGCAGGAGGTGGTAAAGGGCCCATGGATGAGCCAGCGCCACCACTGTGAGGCCTACAGCTCTGCCTGGGAGGAGGAGGAGGAGGAGGAAGAGGAAGAGAAGGTAGCTACATCAAGCTGGGCGTCAGGCAAATCCAAGGGCTATCGTGAAGTTTCCAGGACCTTTGGAAAACCAGAGATTGTCTTTACTATTGGAAAAGGCAATCTCTAGCGAAGCCCAGATGTGTAAGGCCAATGTGCCAAAAATATTTACAAACCAGAATGTTTCTCCATCCCAGAGAGATGAAGTAATTCAGAGGTTGGCCAAACTCAAGTACCAGTTCAGCCTTCACCCAGAAACATTTGCTCTGGCTATCAGTCTTTTGGACAGGTTTTTAGCTACTGTAAAGGATCACCCAAAATATTTGAACTGCTTTGCAATTAGCTGGTTGTTTTTGTTTTTTAGCTGCTAAGACTGTTGAAGAAGATGAGAAAATTCCAGTCCTAAAGGTATTGGTAAGAGACAGTTTCTGTGGATGTTCCTCATCTGAAATTTTGAGAATGGAGAGAATTATTCTGGATAAGTTGAATTGGGATCTTCACACGGCCACACCATTGGATTTTCTTCACATTTTCCAAGCCATTGCAGTGTCAAATGAGGCCTCAGTTATTTTTCAGTTTGCCCAAACAGAGCCCATCCCAGCGTCCGGCAGTCCTGACCAAGCAGTTGCTGTACTGCATGGCCTGCAGCCACTTCTACAGTTCAAAGGACCCATGCTTGCCCTGGCCATGGTTAGTCTGGAAATGGAGAAACTCTTTCCTGATTGGCTTCCTCTTACAATTGAGCTGCTTCAGAAAGCACAGATGGATAGCTTCCAGTTGATCCACTGTCAGGAGCTCGTGGCACACCCCCCCTCTGCTCTGCAACCTTCCCTGCCTCTAAATTCCGTTTATGTCTACCGTCCCCTCAAGCACACCCTGGTAACCTGTGACAAAGGAGCGTTCAAATTACATCCCTCCTCTGTCTCAGACCCAGATTTCTCCAAGGACAACAGCAAGCCAGAAGTGCCAGTCAGAGGAACAACAGCCTTCTACCATCATCTCCCAGCTTCCAGTGGGTGCAAGCATACCTCTGCTAAATGCAAAGTGGAAGAAACGGAAGTGGATGACTTCTACGATGGAATCAAGTGGCTCTATAATGAAGATAATGCTTCAGAAAATGTGGGTTCTGTGTGTGACACTGATCTGCCAAGGCAAGAGGGGAATGCTTCCCCGTGTCCACCACTGCAGCTTGTTTCTGTCATGTAAGTGTTACCTTCCAGTGCACTCTGATGTTGACTGAGAATGAGAACATAGAAAATCAGGGAAGACTGTAGAGAAGGAGATGTGCTTTAGCAGACTGAAGTGAGCCAGGAAAAAAGAAAACACAACAAAACACTTATTTGTGTAGCTAATTATTACTCAAAATTACTTAACATAATGGCATACATTTATAAACTCAAAAGATCCAAAATACATTTAAAAAAAAAAATCCCTGTACTATGTCAGTTCAACTCCTTTTCTCTGTTAAATTAGAGCTTGCCCCATGTCCAAATAAAAAATCAATTTAATGTTTAGGGGAAAAGTTCCAAAATAGCTAGCAAAACCTTGTTCCCAATATCCTAATTTAGTTTTCTGATAGTTTCTGTTGCTTTTTCTTGCCTCTCCATCAAATAAAATGAAATTTATGCCTGTTGATCTATATAGTCTAACTTTCAGTCAGTAGGTAATACTGAAATTTATTTTTAGCAATTCAGTAAGCAAATCATTTTTGTGTGACAGCCATGTTCAAATCAGACTAAAATTCCAGCTGGTCTGTACATTGCACATTGCAGTTGTCAGTCATCCATGTGAATCAGAGCTGATAGAAAAAGTTTCCTTAGTCTGTTTTTAGTTTAAAAACAAAATGAAAATTTTCACTCTTATCTTAAAGCTTAAAAATGGCATGTAATTAAGATCTGTTGAAAGCGTTTCTAACATTTGTACAAAAGAATTTGTGATTAAGTTAATATATCAGGTGCTCACCAAAGAAACAAAAATGGTAACATCTAATTAGATTTTTGTAACTAATCTTCTCTCATTTATAATCAGTGGTGGTGTCTCCCGATTGGCTGGTTCCTCCAGTGGGCAGGGCCTGACACAAGCAGGAAGTAGGAAGGGAAGCCCGGAGCCATCTTGGGATGGAAGCCAGGAGCTGCGGGTAGAGCGTGATGGTGTAGGAAACTTGCAGCCAGCGCAGCAACTCAAAGACAGAATGGACTGACTCCCTATGGACCTGCAGTGAGATCACTGGCCCTGGAGGTGTGAGCAAATGCTAGTGGCAGACTATGGGCATGGCACAGTCTGATAAGGCAGGCTCTGCGTCCCTGTGGTCAGGGGCTAGGCACTGGGTACTCATTCCTTTGTAAGTTAATAAACTCACATAAAATATATTATATGGTTTGTCTGATCATGCAGGAGACCCAGAGAGAATTCGGGCCACAAGGGGTAACTGTCTATAGACATTGGGACAGCTCTATGATTTATAAATCTGCAACATGAAATTGATTTCAGTACCCTACTTTTATGTGAAACTATTAGGATATTCTATATAACAAGTTATTGCCCCTCCTCCCAACCTGCCTATATTTCTTTCAGTGTGACTACACTCTGGGCTCCCTTTGCAGTCTGAAGAAGGCATGAACCATGTACTGATGAGAAAAGCCTCTGGTAGCAATAAAATGTTGTCCTTAAAAGGAAAATTCTCAGCAATTTGTGTTTCATTTTTTAGAACTCTCTTTTTAGCTTCTTAACCTGATTAATTTTTTTGATTATTTTTATGTCCTAAAATTTTATTTAATTTTTAATTGAATTTTTGAGAAATCCATACAAAATATTTTGATCACAGAACTCATCTCCCATCTGCACCTCTGTTGTAGTACCCCACCAGATATCGTTTACTTTGTGATATATATTAAGGCCTATAGAGTCCATTGATAGCCCCAAATGTCATTCTCTATTCATCCATTCACTGCAGCATAGCCAAACACCATTACACCCTTAAGAAAATCAGCTGTCCTTCTCCCAGTAGGAATCGATTGCCAATAATAGTTCCTCACTTGAGGCTGGGGCTTCTTACCCACTTCACATCTATTCTGGGATTGCTGTAAGTTCATAGGAGTAATTTCCCAGCTGCCTGGAAAACTTGGTTTTCTTCTGGAAATCAGCTACCTCTGCCTCTTAAAATCTTTCTGTCTCCTCTTTCACAATGGTCCCTGAACCTTGATGGTCCTATTCTGAGAGACACACTCTGCAGTCTCTTGCTCTATGCACTTTTGCAAGTTATGGATTTCTGAGTTAATTACCATCTGTTGCATGAGGAAACTTCACTGGTGAAAGTTGGAAAGTACACTAAAATTCGTTCTACCCCCCCCCCAATCTTCTATGCTTCATGATACCTAGTTGTACACACTGCATTGTACATGGTCACTTAGGGCTGAGTACCTCACAGACACTAATTCTCTGTGTTTTATCAGTTTTGGAACTTTGTAATAGTCTCCAACTGTTACAAAACTAAGCTTCTTTGATGAGTAGTGAGATGTACACTTGTCTGAAATTATAAGAATATGTGTTTACAATACAGCAAAAATTATTTTGGTTTAGGAATGATAAGAAATACATTTTTCTCTAGGATCTATGACCTCTTCAGGCATGTGTATTTGGCTATGTTTATAGAATCACTCCTGAGTTTCATCTCATTTTGCAGGACTCAAGTACAGTTAGATAGAGAATTAACATCCAGAATCTACAAAGAACACAAAAAATGAAGTCAAGAAATCAAATGAGCTATGGCTCTAAACAGAGTTCTCAAAAATGAAAATATAGAGGCCATTACAGAGTTCCAAAAACTGGTAACACACAGGAAATAAGTGTCTGCGAGATGCCCAGCCCTATGTGACACGTCTGCAATGGAACCTCTACAACTCAGGCTCAAGTAACATAATGGAACAAGGGATAGAGAGAATATGAAGGCATTCGCCAACTCTCACCAGTGAAGTTTCCTCAGGCAACAGAGTGTGATGCACAGGGGACCACAACTGGACAAACAGTAGAGAATATGAGACTGTACAATGCATGTCCCTGGATAGGACTTCTGTATTAAACCTCACCCACCCAGGTCTTGACTATAGAGCAGAAAAATTGTAAGAGCCAGGGTTGGTGAATGAGCATTTAGGAAACAGTCTTCCAGGCCCTTGTGAACTTGCTCATATGTACTTACAGCTATGGTGACAGCATGCACAAGATCCGTGCAAACTCACACAAAAATGCAGTATAGAACTGGGAAAGTGGGCAGCATGCCCCAACCTTAGCCAGGGAACTTTTGGCCACTGCTTACTTGTCGGTGAGGGAGAGTTGATGTTATTTAAGGGAGTGACTCCAGTGACTCTAGGCTGACTAGACACCAGCAGATGAACATGCACTGAGAGAATTATGGGTACATAAACTTGACTCAGTAGGCTTTACTAAGGTCTAACTATAATCAAGATGTTTTGTACTAGATGCACAAAAATTCAATTCAAAATATACATCGAGAAATTCTGCCTCAGTATGTTAAAAAAAGAAATAAAAATGCCTAAGAAATACTTTTAAAAGTGTTCAACATCCTTAGAAATTAAGGAAATGTAAATTAAAACTACGTTAAGATTTTTGTCTTTCCCAAGTCAGACTGGCTAACATTAAGAGTACAAATAATAACAAATGCAGTGAGGAACCGAAAAAAAGGGGAACCCTCATTCATTGCTGGTGGCATTTCAAACTGGTGTAACCACTATGGAAATCAGTGTGGAGAGCTCTGAAAAACTAAAAATAATTCTACCATATAGTGTTTATACCACTCCTTAACATTTACCGAGGGACTCGATATCCTCCTACAGAGATATATGATTGTCTTTGTTTCCTGATGCTCTTTTCACAACAGTTAAGAAATGGAAACAACCCAAATATTCTTCAGCTGATGAATGTATAATGAAAATGTGATACATTTATGCCACAAATTTCTATGCAGTGGTAAAGATAAGCAAAAGCATGAATATCTAAGGTGGATGGATGAAACTAGAAATTGTTATACAAAGCAAAGTAACACAGACTCAGAATAAGAAGGGACAGATGTTCTCTCATTTGTGGATCCTAACTTCAAATCCTTAGATATGAGTGTATATCCTGATTTAATGGCTGGGTCAAAAAAAAAAATGGAAAGGAAACATGCAGTAAAGGGAAATGAGATCAAGAGTGGCATATTTTAGGAGACACATTATCAAGCAGGGAATGGGGTAATTAGGGTACTTTAACTGGGAATGGAATAGAGAGAGGTACCCGGTGGTGGGAAGAGATAAGAAATAAATACAGATTAGCTGGTGTGAAAATCTAGAGGGAAATCTATTAGTTCAAGAGCCTCCTAAAATTATACACATACAATATCTAATTACATGTGGATAGCTGAAGGCTATATAACAAAATACATATTGCCAGGCAGGGGAAACTCCATTGGTCAAAGTACTTGAAGAGAGTCTCAAAATAATTCACGCTATTTCCATAGCCTTTGATCGCCTCCCATAACTTCAAGGTGAGATTTTATTGCTGAAGACAGGACATAATTTGTACCCAGGGCTTAGAACAATCAAGCTGAAAGTGATGTGGAAGCCTAGTCCTTGAAGACTAGCCCCCAAGGTATCAAAAGATACTACAAAAACTGCCAAAGGAGAAAACTATCAATATTTCCATCCAGCTATAAAGTCTATGAACCACACAATTACCATCTGAGCAAATAAACTACTGGGGCAGTAGTGGCACTTTTATCTTGAGGGTAATCAGCAGCTGTTTAATTGGACTCAACCCAATTTTTAATTACATTGCTGCTGGTTTATTTTGGTATAAAGTTCTCTGTGTCGGGGGGATGCTTTTGTATATTCTAGTGACTTACCCTCTATCAGATGTAGAGCTGGTAAACATTTTTTCCATACTGTAATTTATTTCATCACTCAAATTATGGTGTCCCTAGAACAGAAACTTGGTTTCATGAGATTCCATTTGTCAGTTGTTGGTCTTACTGCCTTTGCTCTCAGGATCCTACTGAAAGTCCTTTATTTGTCCTATAAGCTCCAGTGTATTCCCTACTTTGTCTTCTCTGAGATTCAAGGTGTGTCCCTCCTTTTTGTTACTCACCAGAACATGACTGTAAGATCCTACATACATACATCATAAAAAAAAAAACAAGGAAAATCAAGCTTGTA